GGAGCGGCCCAGTCAATGAGGCCTGATCCTATTAACTGGGGATTTGTAAACAGTTGTGTGCTCACTGTGACGGCTGCTGTGCTGCTTTGTGAGCCTTGGCGAGGGGATGAAGGCTGTAAGGTTCTGGAGGAGGCTCATATATTGTTGCACTCTGCCCCAAGCTCCTGTGAGCTGCAGCCCAGTCATGTTCATTGACAACATGCTTCAATTTTATCGTCTTTGTAACAGTGATGTCAGTTCCCAGTTCTATCCCTCTTGTTGCTGTTCGTCCTTTCCAAGAAGCTAGTGGCTGCAAATATAATTTTCCAGTGGTGAATACAGCTTTCACAGAGTGAGATAATCCATGACAGTAAACATGATGCTGTCGCTGGGTTTTGTCAAAATGCAACTTGTTTGTCATATGTCAGTGTTGCATTGCTTTTGCTAATTGTGAGTCACCTGATGACCACAGGAGGGATCAGTGTAGTATTTTTTTAAGATATGTCTCAGTTTATATGTATGTTTGGTCAGACTAGCATTTAAAACAGCAACATTTACGAGTCAATCAGTGTGATCAGTCAATTGCGGAGCTGCGTACCAGGCAGTTTTCAAAACAGACATGGTGACTTATAATCATAGTAGAAAAAGCATATTTGTTACTAATCACTTTAAAAGTGGCTGTGTTCTAATCAAGTAGGCTGCCCCAGTAAGTTATGGCAATGTGACAATGAGCCAACATGCACCGTACCAGGACGCTGAAACTGAAGCAGCTCAGTGGGATTCAGCACACATCCTTTTCCTACTGTGACATGGTAAAATGTCTTCCAAAAAAGGCCTATTGAAAAGCCCAAAATAGAAGACTCCATGGTATTAGCTGTGTTGCACTTGTATAACCCTACTCTGCTGGAGTAGTTGCTCCACAAAAGCGGCATGGTTTCCCATCAGTGATACTACATAACAATAAACTCTGTTAACTTAATGTAGTGTCTGTTGAGCAGCCAAGCTAGATCGTGAGCTTGGAGATTGGAAAGCTAATGTAGCTAGCTAGCAATAGCATGTTCCCAGCCAGCTAGCATTTTGCTGGTTAGCTCGTCAGCTACAGTACAGCACTTTGCCAGCTAGCTCTGCAATTAGTCACTATGCTTTCTACCCCACCTTTTTGCCACAACACTTTGCGGTGCCATTTTTCTGGTGTGACCAGAGTTTAAAGCTGAAATCTGGACCGTTTAGTAATGGTTATAGTATGTTATGTCCTTTTTGTACAGAGGGGTTTAGTGAAACCCTAAAAATGGCACATCTACATTGTTGGAGATGCTCTGCATACTGTCCTAGTGACAATAGCTGATTGGCTTTGTGGGGTTGCACCTTTTTATAAACAGTCCATGGGTTTACTCTGCCAGTTGTATCTAATTTCATCACTTTAGCCATCCGTTATCTTGCTGTTACCTGATCTATTTCTGCTTTAAATGCGGGACTTTTATATAGAAATGAATTTCCGTTTGGCCTTGCCAAATGAGTTCACACAATGCAGATTAGGGCTGCAACTAACAATAGTCGATTAATCTATCGATTATTGAAACGAATAATCGACTATTTTGGCTATGAATCGCAAATCACAATGCCTGTCATTTAGCTATTAGCCTTTAAATTAAAACTGAGGTTGTTTTAGGCATGTGCTAATTAACAGTCAAGACAATAAAATAAATACTGCTTTCAAAAATGAACTTTTAATAAATGTGGGGATCAATAATAAAGATATAAACAAATATAGTTTCCCCTAACTCAACAACTCACACAACTCCGTGATTTTTTTAAGGGAGTTTGGGGCGGATTAGCTGCCGCCTCACGCACAGACAGGAGAAGTGTTTTCTCTTCTTTAGAAAGAATGAAATTGTCTGATGTTGTCAAATCTTGCGCACTCGGCTGCAACACGTTCTCCAGCTGGGAACGTTGCCATGAGCGATGCATCGTTTATGATTGTAAAGTAAGGGCACATCTGGAAGGTGAACGCGGCCGTTGTGTATCATAATTATGTGCTACTCACAGTACCATTACTGTAACAATCAATCAAATTGACCAACTGTATAGAAAATGTCTCAGCTCATAACGTGAAGTAACACGGCTTTAACGTGAAGCTAGCTCGCTAACTAGCTTACCAAGACGAGTCTTCATCATCCACAGAGACACAACGTTACACGCCTCCTCTTCAGATGCTCTGGTGTTTCCAGGAGAGCTCAGCTTTGCTGCAGTTCACGACCTTTCTGGCTGAGTTAAGAGTGAAATGCTGTCACAGTCTGGAGGTTTTAGGTCTTGAATGTGTTACTGCAGCTCTGATGTTGTTTTAGTAACTTTAACGTTACTGTTCACATCACTTTACTCTGTTGATGAAGTCATAAACAAAACGAATTGTTAAATTTGTTGGCAACGAATTTAATAATCGATTTTTGTCGACTACGTCGATTAGTTGTTGCACCCCTAATGCTGATTAATCCTATCACTGCCAGGAAAATATCTCTGTATTTTGCTGAGTTTCTAAATTCGGTGTCTGTGGCAACATGGCGTATATATGCCAACAACAATTGGTTTGTCAGAGCTGAAGAGGGGACAACCGTTGCGACAGCAGCAACTCAGTATGGCAGCGCCTTTATGTCGTCAGCGCGTCGGCAGTGTTGTGTATTTCTCTCACTCTCAGAAGGTGGACACAGAAGTTCCATGCTGCAGGTTATGCAAGATTTTTTTTTTCTTTTGGTCTAAAGGTTACTGCAAGGACAACAGTTGATATTCAGCAAGGTTTGGTAACAGAGAATTTGTATTCTCTAAATACTGTAAAAGATTTACATTAAAAATAATCACATGTAGCATGTCAATTAGAAGTATAACTAAATACTAAAGAAAAAACAACCAACACTACAAATCAACTTAAAGGATCCTTCGCTTTAGCTCATATTCTTTGTCTTGAGCTCCAAACCAAATTCCAGTTTTGTTCTTTCTCGCCGCCAAACCAAAACCAACAGGAGGAGAAAACACATGTTCTTTCGTTGATGCAAAGAGTTAGTGCAGAGAAAAAAAAAACGCTATGTGAAACCTCACAAGTTAACAGCTCAGTTCATCTTAAGTCCATTACACCATAAGCAACACTTCTGTTTAACCAGCGCTATGGTAGATGCTGGTCGTGGGGTTTTCAGATTAATTTTGTGGCCTAAACCTATTCACATGTCCCTTCAGGGGCTGCGCAGCAAAGAGGAATGAAAACATTGAGGGAGAGAGATAGCAGTAAAGTGGGTTCCCAGCCAACAGTGTGTTTTTAAGAGCAAAACGACTTTTCCAAAATAAATAGATCTGTGTCGCAGACCGCTAGGAGGGAGAAAAGCCCTCGGTTCAATAATTAATTCCCGAGCTGAGGGTTTTGGAGAGCTGCTGATTGGGCTGATTCTTTTTTTTAATTCTGTTATGATACAAAGGAGGCCGTTTGAAGTAATTTGTCCCAGAGAGAGCGGCTTGGAATACCATACATGCTTTGATTTAGCAAAGCAAATTTAATTTTGTTTGCTTTATGCAAACCAGCCGGGGCCGCGGGGGTTTCTCTGATTCCACCAGAGGGGTGATGGTGGTGGTGGTGGTGGTGCTGATGATGGAGGTGGGGGAGTGCACACAACAGAATCACACTGCTGCTGCTAATATATAATACAGAAAGCACACTCATACACACAGACGCATGCAGTGAGCAGCAACAGTTCAAAAGTACAAAGCCTATTCCCCCCCTACACACACACACTCCAATCCCTTTGAAATCAAAGCTTAAAATAATTGTTTGTGCGTTGTGTTTTGTTTCATTCTATTCGTCTATTATTAGTGTTAGTGGTATTATTCCTATCGTGTTGTTTTAGCTGCCTGCTCTCCCTGCTTGCCGGGGTTTTGTTTTATGCTGCTAATGAAAGCTTCTCTCCTCGCTTTTGTTCTGCTTCGTTTTTACCAATACGTGAATGGAATACATCTGTTTATATCTGCGCCTGATATTTCCTGAGGTGTCTAACGCGCAACGGCACCATAATGAAGAGGCTACTTGTGGTTTTTTTCCGAGGGCTTTTCTTCACATCTTCATGCAGACATTTGCCGCACTGTTAAGCTGTGAAGATTTACCTTAACGTTGCTGAGTAGACATACATGATGTATTGCACTTATCTGTGCCTGATATTTCCTGATGATGGGAAGTCTAACTGTGTTGGACACCTTTAATTACCTTGTTCTGTTCTCCTGTACTGGAGAAACGACTGTCCGTGTACAGATGTTAAGCAAACAGTAGAGGCATTTCTTCTCAGAAAGAGAAAAGGCTATTCAGAATGGGTGGCCAAGCGGTTTTCTTATACTCCATTCAACTCATTTTCTTAGGGAACAATAATGAGTGGATAAAGCAGAAAAACCCAATTTCCTTTATGCTTTTTATATCCTGAAAAAGCCCTCGTTGACGACCCTTTGGTCTTTTGTTATAGAAAACGGAGCTAATATCCTCCAGCTCTCGGCGCAGTTTAAAGGTCTTAATTGGATTCCATTAGTATATTGCTTGACATGACACTTGAGTCCGCTCTATTAGAATTCCCCTGCCTAGGATTAAAAAGACGACTTTTTCTACATTCAACTCTCTAGGCTCTTTTGTTGAAGTCTCAAATATTCTTTGTTGGATTCTCAGTTTTTTACTGACACCATTATTAAAACCATAAGCTTGACTTAAACAGCTGCTTTTATTTCTAGGGGACCTGTCTCATCGCAGCGGTTTATGTATCAATAAACCATAGCATTAATACGGTATAAACATTTCATGTGTGCATGTGCTGTAAGGCCTATAAAACAGTCCTCCAGCCTCTTTCTACACAAGACTAGAGCACACGTTGAACTCCCTGCAGGTTTCTTTTCAGAGTACCACGCAGAGTTGAAGTGTTTCCTCTGTGGTTTCAGTGACTGCAGAACACGGGCCGAGTGAAGGATGCGTTTGATGGTATTCTGTTTCATGTCTCTCGCCCCAGTCCTAACCTGACGTGGAGGGATCTTCAGCATCTGATTGCCGAGACAGCAAAGATCCCTGACCCTGAAGAGCCTGGGTGGAACATCAACGCAGCAGGACACCATGTTCACCATAGGTATTGTGATACATCCACGCAAACATTCAATGGTTTTGAACACAAATGTGGTATCATCACTGGGGTTACATTTAAACCGAGTGTTCTGCCAACGTTCTGCCCACCTTTTTAAGTGAGGCTTACATGTAAAGTGATTGGTGTATTAATCACACAATTTACATATCAATTGTTCCTTTCTTTAAAAGCAAAGTGAGCTATTATGCTCAGCTGAAACCCTTGATTACTTGTTGCTATGGCTGTCTAAGCAACATGTGCAGTATGTATGGCTATGTTTGGTTGCGTCTCTTTAAAGCAACAGTTCAACATTTTGGGAAATATGCTTATTTGCTCTCTTTCCAAGAGTTACTTGAGAAAATTACATCACCCTCATGTCTGTAGAGTGAATACGTATATATAATGCGCCTGTGCTAGGAGCTCCCATTGTTGCTGTCAAATTCACTAAAACCCTGTCCACTTGAATATTTGACACATTCAGAATTCGGATAAATGCATTTTGTACCGTTTGGCTGAACGCAAATTCTACATGTATGCAGCCATTCTTAATTATTAAATGCACCTATTCACATTAGTTGTATCTTAATTTTTTAATAACCGCAAAGTAGTACAAAAACCCAATTTTGGCCTGTGACTGAATGGTTTTAACGGGATTACAGGAACTGATTAATGGCGATGTTCAACTTGTATGGTAAAGAACATACAAATCAAATTGCAGATAGATCAACAACCTCTAAAAAAATGCATTCAGAACCTGCTTAGTAGCTGATTATAATAATGACATCTTTTAATTATGCTTCACCTTTGTTGCAGGTGTGGTCATAAAAAATTAGTTTGTTTGTCTTGTCATGTGTAACATAACATGGAGGGTTTATGATTTAATAGTTGCCGATAGATTATGAAATGTATGATTACAATAATTATCCCTATATGATCTCTGACTGGGATAATTGCATATAAATTAAATGGTGTACAATTCATTGCTACCTGCATAATCTACCCAAAGGTTTCTTGACCACACTTTTTGAACGACTCTAACACAGAACTGTTTAACAGATATATTGAATTTAAAGTAAGGTTAAGCTAACAGCACATCACAGATTTATAAATTAAACTGAAGAGATCAGGTATTACTTATTGCTAGATTACTCAAGTGAACAGTTTGCGATGGATCACACAGACGATGTCATCTTCCACTTGTTCACTACTGTGTTTGCCACGTACACACACACCACTGTAATGTGCCCGCACACACCTACACACTCTCCTCATATAAAGCGCTTCTGCAAAAAGCAGCTGTTTTATGACACTTGAGACAGGTAATCTTGTCCAGGGAGGAGTGTCATTGTAATCCTCTAATGTTATTATCACACCCACAGCATGTCTGAGTGTCCGTACCTGCTCTGATTTATATAGACAGATGCTGGAAGAAATGGAGCTTCTCCCTCTGACTGTATGAAGCATGAATCTGGGAGAGAGAGTGAGCCCTGTGCTACTCCAGACATCGTATAAACGCTTTTACAATGCTTTTACAATGTCAGCGCTGGGAGATGACATATCTCTAATCAGTCATAGTTTTGTGTGTCTGTGCTCTCTGTCTCACTCACCTTAAAATTTCCTCTCCTCATCTTGGCTCTAACTCACTGCCCTTCCTCTCCCCTTCTTTTCCCTTTTCTTGCTATTATTTCCTCTCGCTGCATTCCTGTTTCTCCCTTCCATCCCCTCTTTCGCAGCATGCCGTGTCATAAAATAGATTGTAATTACTGTGTTGCTGTGAGAAGAATGGATTAATTAAAATATAATGATGCCGATCACACCAGCGGGTGTCTGTTGAAATCTGTCCATTTAGGGGCTGTGGCAGAGGACTTGTAATGGCCAGATCATACTGCAGGCTAATTATGAACAATGGTTTATTGCATGGGCAAGGACAGATGGACTAGACAGTGCAATGAGCACAGAGTTACTTACCATCAGTGAGGTTGTTACAATACATTAAAGATTAGATATGATTTGTGTAATAAAAGGATCAATGTTTAAGAAATTGTTGATAACGCTGAATAGTTACCAGGGAGTTAGAGATGGAAAAGGCCTTGCTTTCCTTTTATTTGGATTCTGTAGGTGTGTGCTGTATGACTGCAGTCGTTTGCTAGTTTGTGTTTTCATTTATCACACGGTATAATATTTGTATGCATGTAATGTGCAGTTTTCTACATGTTGTTGCCGGTTGACTCAGTGAGGATTTAGAAAGTTTATAAAAGTGCTTTGTTTTTATAGTCTTATTCCCTAAAAAAGTTCTTGGGCACACAGAAAGTGTATGTTTGTTTGGATAATAAATGAAAAAGGATAGCAGCATAGCATAGCAGTAATAACTAGCAGGAGGTTGAGATGAGATGCGTTATTATCACATTAATACCTTAATTAATTACCGCCGACAATTTTTTTATCGCACGTTAACGCCGATATTTTTTTTAAATTATCATTATTTTGAAAGTCCTTTGCTCACTGGCTCTGAATGCACATACAGTCAAACCACGGGTCACAGGAGGGGTGGGATGTTGATCAGCCTGAAAACCACCCACCTAAACAAGCAGTGGAGGGAGGCGACGGCAGGATGCAGCATCTGGGAGAAGTAAGACAGCGCTCCACGAGTAAACAGCAGGCGCTCTATTGAGAGTAACCATGGTAACGGCTTCTGTGCGCTACACAGCTGTAGCCTATTTAACTTAAATTAAAATTATAGGCTACATAACTTTACCTGATAGTCCTTCATCTAATTTTATCATTTCTGCTGAGTCAACACACATGCAGGCATGATATAGTTTTCCCTCCACGTTTGAGTCTTTTGTTTGGGGAAGTAACCTCTTTAAATGTGATTGTGGCACCTTTTCACCTCAATGATAAATTCATTTATTATAATTTAGTTATAACTTACTGAACTTTAATAGTTCCTGTGTTTCAGCAGGGTTTCTGCTCATGTTCAAAACTTTCTGCACTATGAAATTTCTCCCACATATCTGTGTTCTTGATATGTCTTGAAAAAAGTCGTAATATTATTATGAGAATCATCATTCAATGTTGTGAATTCACAATATTTTTAGTCTACCTGCTCTATACTCTGCTGTGCATTATGTTATTGCTCTGCTGGTAGTATCCCCTTCAGGCCGTCTGATCAACTGGAAACGAAGCTAACTAACAACACTTCCTGCATTCTTTCCAACAACCAGCAGGGGCCGACTCCACTGATTGCAAAAAAAGTTCGGTTCCATTAGAAATAATGGCAAAATGACTCTACTTCCCACTTGATTCGTTACCTCAGTAAACACTTTACTAATGAGTTTATGGTCTCAATCGTTAGTTCCAAGATTTCTTCAACACAGCATGATGTTCATTTAGTAAATGGTCCCATTTAGAGGAAAATAGACATAAAGCAGGGGTTGCTATAGGGCGGGACTACCTTGTGATTGACAAGTCTCTGTCAGTCAGGCTCGAGTGACTCATATCCGCTGCTCTGTGTACATTAAACCAGCAGCGTTGAAAAGCATATTAGAAGTTGGCTGTTCATTTTCTCTGAGTACACGTTTTAAGCCTGTTTTTCACTAGCTAAAATTAGTATCCAGGTTAAAATCACGGTTAACGTGAATTACAGATGTACCTTGCCAACCGGGCTAGCTTGCTCCATGCTCTCGTCAATATATGGTTTGCAAAAAATCAATACGGCGATTGCAAAAATGCCAAACTCGAGGCTTCAAAACTGCAGGTGATGTAACGCTGACTACGTCGACTTCTTTTATACAGTCTATGCTAGAAACTGGTAAAAGGCTCACAACATGTGTATAGCTAATATGTCAACTAATATCAGAATCACGCTGTCAGAATGTCAAAACTAACATAAACTTTGTTTACTGATTCACAAATATTATATAAACATGATAAGTGGTTGCAAAAATGCAATGCTCCACAAGGTGGCTGGTGTGGACTTCTCTTAACTTCTCTAATCTTTCTTAACAGTTGTGATACTGGACCAAGTAAGACTGTAGTAGCAAAAGAAACGTTTTATGAATTAGAATGTGTAATTTCTTATTTCAAAAGTCACACTGTCACTTTAAAAAAGACAAATGAATAGAGTTGTTGTGTATAGCCTCTTCAAAAGTTTCATAGGGAGCATGTGCGGATTGAGGACAGATGGTTTCTCTGAAAGAACCAGTTACATGCTACATGCTTTGTTAAAGCTGAAGGAAAAATAGCTGCCGTATAGATGTTGCGTGAGTTGTCATTGATGTGTGTTTATGTATGTGTGTGTGTGTGTGTGTGTGTGTGTGTGCGCATGTTTGGAGATTTGGGGGGGTTGTTGGGTGGGTGGAAGGTGTCGCCCGCATCCCGGAGTTCCCATCTGTTTGACCTCCATATAGACTGGGAGCTTTAGAAACTCTGATGTTGGGGGGAGAAACCCCCGCCCCCCGCACTCAGCTCCCACCGCCATGACGACAATAAACATGTCAGCCGCCACACGCCAGAGCAATCTGCAATCAGATTTACTGTGCATGAAATATGGTGGTGCTTTTATTGGTCCAAAGACTTGTCAGTCATAATTTATAGGCTGTTGCCAGGCCGGGTGTGATGTCAGCGAGCTCCCAGCACCCTCAGGAGAGTCAAAAGGGAGAGAGTGAAAGAAACAGGGGTGAGGGGTGGTGGTTGGGTGGGTGGGGGTTATATAAGAGGGCAGAAAGTGTGTATGTGTGTGAGAGAGAGAGAGAATGAGCGAGAAAAGGTGATGGAAATGGGTTAAAAAAAAAGACGGAAAAAATAACACACATCCATCCTGTTCCTCTCTGTGGGGAGTTTATCAGGTTGAGGGAGTGAAAATGTCAGTTTTTTTTCAGGGCCTGTACAAATGGTTCTCCCTCTCCTCTCCTCTCCTCTCCTCTCCACTCCTCTCCTCTCCTCTCCTCCGGCGTTGCTTGCTATCCTTTGAACACCGACACCTATCGATCACATGGTCGACGGAG